GGCAGTCAGGTGGAAAGGGTAAGAGAAATGCCTCTAGTTCTCAACAGAGTTCATTTCATCGCCATTTCTGAACAGAATTCTTAACTTCCCCCTAAGCCCCATCCATGTGGCTCTCTGATTCTTCAAGGAACAGCTCACAGACATCACCCCCTTTCTCTTGTCCCCACCCCTCTTCTTCCTTTGAATAAGGCCAAATATCATCGACTTACCAGACAGGTGGAATTAAGCATTGATGTATTTAGTCACTCCTTAGGACCTGGGAGGCCCTTCAGACACTTAGGAGCCCTCTAAGTGCTGCCCAGTAGGAAGGAGCCAGCCACCACAGCCCCCCTTTCAGGACTTCTAGTAAAAGGTCTTTACGGGTCTGGGCTGAAGCTCCAAGCTCCAGAAAGGGAAGGAAGGAAGTGTTCCCACAGAAAATCAAAAGTCACTAACAAAGAGCAAGTCTGGGGTCTGTTTTACAGTCCAGTTCTGACTGATAACAATGACAAACTGGCGATGACTTCTTTTGGGGGGTATGTTTTTGGAAATATATATGAAAAGAAAAATCCCAATTCTATCAAGTTTGCTGTACTTGATAGGAAATGCTCCCTGACTTTGATGTAACAATCTACACATCTGCTACAAATCATTAAATTATGTTCTAGGGTCAAATATTGAAATGATTCCTTTAGAAACACGCTAGCAAATGGTGCATGTTAAACCCTCTACAAACTACACATACCTAGGCCTATCTTGGTTTTGAGCTAAAAAAAAAAAGTGCAGCTCAAAACCCCCAGCCACAGTTGAGGAGTTCGTCTGCAAGGCCTTTGATGCTGAGATAAAGAAAAGGCTTTTCTCCCGCCCTCCTCCCTCCAGGAACACACCTTTTGTATGCTCTGCCTAACAAAGGAATTTCCTAATTTCAGAGTGGAAGGAGGGAAAGTATGGTGGCTACAGGCTTTTACAGAGCTGGCTTCCAATCGCAAAAGATTAAATAAAACAAAAAGCAAAAACGAAGCTGGGATTCTCCGATACACTGGAGGGAACACTAAGGCATTCAGCGTTAGCAATAAAAACATCAATAACAAAATCCCAAAGGACTTGGGATTCCTTTAGTTTCTATCTGGCATGAGAAGGGTATGTTTTCTTTGTCCTGTCCTTATCTACTGTACAAAGACAATGCTTTTTCCTTTGTTTTTGTGGTCAAATTACTATTTTATTGCTGCTCAAAGCAATAAAAGGTATACAAGGTAGTCTGACATATGTAGAATATTCGAATGTACCTTTTTGTAGTGATTGTTTTGGAAGAGCTATCATGCCCCTTCACCCCCAACTCAGAATCGGTCTCTTCAGCTGTGAAATTCAATGATTTTGCAAAATGGGTTCAAATGGCTGCTTTGTTTTTAACTATCGGTTCATCTGGCCAAGAGGTTTCTCTGAAACCTTCGTTGTAAAAATAGAAACAAGAGAATTTGCTAGAAATTGTTATCTTTTACTTTTTGGTTGTTTCTGGTTTAAAAGCAGATGCAATGTTAGCTAGCTCCTGTCTTTTGTCCAATTTCCCCCAGCCAAGGGTTGACCTAGCAAGATTCTGGGCTTGTCAGAACCCTGGTCTCAAACTCTTTGGCATTACAAATCCGTGGGGCAGTTGCACAGCTGGATTTCTGGGATAAGCAAGTTAGACTTTGGTTTAGGGGGCACAACTCTTGTAGCCATTTAAATGGTGTTTCCCTAAGCTCTCAGTGTTATGAAGAGGGTGGGGGAGGGGCGGGAGAGCACTATAAGTACAAAAGATTTCAAACCAACCCTCGACCTTCTTATGACATCTGCACGTTCAAATTCCATATATTGCGACGGAGCACGAGCCTATCAGGGTTTCAGATTAGCAGGTCCTTGTATTCTCTTCAATGCACATAATTTTTTTTACATGCATATTAACAAGGGCCTACCTTCAGAAGAAGGAAAAGGCTTCCTTTCAAACGAAATCAAGTCCAAGCAAGGCTGAAACTCAACACACAGAGTGTGTTGGGTGGCATTGTTCTCTGGCTCCAAGAAGATGAGAGTTTCAGTTTCATCACCTTGTAACACTGGCAAACATGATGCTGTGGCTGGCAAAATCTGCAGATTCATAGGTCTTCCTAAACCTGGGCAGATATGCATTGCAACTTGTGTGCATCACAGCACAGTCGCCGGCTGAAACTAAAGAACTCTCATGTGAGACAATAATTCAAGTCATTTGCATGGAGAGTCTCAAAGAGCAAAAGATCTTTTACAGTGTGTACATCCTACAGCGCCCTGTAGAGAACAATGGCTTCCCCAACGGAAGTTAGTGCAAGAGAATACTGAGATTTAAAAGAAAAACTTCTCTGTACACTTTGCAGACAGAAATCCACCAGTCTGTTTTAAAATAAAGCACACAGGATTACTTCTGCTGGGATTCTTTACAGCTATTCCAGTGATAGTGTTGTCTTCAGAGCACAAGCAAACAGGAGGGAGCCTTTTTAGGAGGTAATGGCACCATTTTTTTTTTTTTTTCAGATCCTTCCATTTTGTCCTACTTCCAGTCAGCACAATTAGCTCGACATGGAGGTGTCTCTTGTTTAAAAAAAAAAAAATGAAAACAACAACAACAACAAAAACCCCTTCAGTGGCGAGCCCGACTGTACACAATATGGGCACCAGGACATAGGGCTGGAAAACAGTATACTTCATCTGGCATGGAAGGAAACGCTGCATCTCCCTCCCTGATGGGTTACAATTATCTCTCTTCCTGGTCTTTGGCTGGGTTTCTGTATGTATCTTTTTGCCTGTGTTCTGTAAGCCATGACCACCTGCTGTATATACAACTTGTGCTTGTTACATTTGTGCACCATTTCCCTTATAGAACTTAAAGACCCAGCTATTACATTGTGTTTACTCAGTATCATTCCCCCAGTTTAAAAAAAAAAAAAAAAAAAAAAAAACACCCACA